GGCCACGGGAGAATGGAGATGCCCTGTCTCGGGAAGGGTCTCTGGGACCCCTTCCAGGCCCTTCTACCCAACCTCACAAAGGTGAGTGAGTCTCGCCCAGCTGCTTCACTCTCAACTTCCTGCTGGGGTTCTCTAGGATGCCCCAGCGCTTCCCATCCACAGCCCAGGGTACCCACCTCCTTGTCCCCAGGCATCCTCAAGAAGAAGTGTCTTCCCACCATCAGCGAAAAGAGCAGCCTCCTAAGGCTGCCCCTGGAGCAGGGCACGGGGTCTTCTCGGGGCTCCACAGCCAGCGATGGCAGTCGGAATGGACCTCCTCCCCGCCCGCCACCACGCCAGAGTCTCCAGGAACAGCTCAATGGGGTCATGCCCATCGCCATGAGCATCAAGGCAGGCACGGTGGATGAGGACTCATCGGGCTCCGAGTGAGTCGGGTTGGGTGGGAGGTACAGGGTGTGACCTGCAGAGGTCCTGGCTGGGGCAGGGCTGGCTCTGAGCTCCATCCGGCTACTCTGTTGGAAGACAGATGGGCTGAGTGGAGTCCAGCTCCCTTGTGTGCCCAGACACCATGGTGCTCTGTTGGGGAGTATCCCAGACCCCCCCACCCCCGGGCTTTAAGCGCTGCAGCCTAGTCCTGGGCAGCATGCGAGGGTGGGCGCTGGGGCTGCTTTTCTGTTTCTTTCTCTGGTGGAAGCTGCTCCCTGTCTCCTCTGCTGCTCCGGCTAACCCTCTGTCTGCCTTCTCTGCCACTCTCCTCTCCTGCCTCTCCAGATTTCTCTTCTTTAACTTCCTGCATTAACCCTGGGCCGGTGTTCCTTCATCCCGAAGCTCCCTTCCCTCCCCCTGCTGCGCTCATGCCCCATCCTGTCTTCTGCTTTATCCTGCCCCTGCTCCCTACTGCCTGCCGAAGCAGCAGCGATGAAACGTCCATCTGAGGAGCCTGGGCCTTGCACCTAAGGCCATCTAGTGCCAAGTCCCTCCCCCACCTCCCCCTCACTGCACTTTGGACCCCTGGGGCCAACATCTTCAAGACAAAGTTTTTCAGAAAAAAAAAAAGAAAAGAAAAGAAAAAAAAAAGAATTAAAAAAAAAAGGATCTCTACTCTTCATGACTTCAGGGATTAATTTTTTTTTATACGCTGGAAATGGACTCCCCTTTCCCTTCCCAAAGAGGATAGGACCTCCCAGGACGTGTCCCAGCCTCTCTTCAGTTTCCCATCTGCTGTGCCTCTGGGAGGAGAGGGACTCTTAGGGGGCCTGCCCCTCCTTTGCCATCACCAAAAGGAATGGACAAAGCCACACGGACCAGGGGCATGAGCCCCCACAAGGCTGCACCGGACAGGCCTCAGCTGGCGAGGGGTCAGGACAAAAAAGGCACTTGCCACCGGCCAATTCCACCTCTCCCAGGAACTGAAGAGCCCTGTCCGGCTAGGGGCAGAAGGACTCATCGCCCCTGGACCCCCAAATGCTGCATGAACCGTTTTAAGGGGAAGCCTGTGCCCCCACGTGGGGAATGACTACCCCGGCCCCTTCTCCTTCTCCTGGACTCTGGCCATGTGCTACAGCCCAGGCGTTCGCTCCGTTTGCTGACCCCAAAGTGCTTCATTTCCCCTGCCCGACCTTCCGGGGCGGGCCAGTCACCCTTCAGTTGGGCTTCTTTGCTGTGTGTGTGTGGCACCCACCGGGAGGAAGAGCAAGCACAGAGCTGCCTTGGTGGCCCTGAAGGGGTCTCAGGCACAGGTTTCAAGTCTGGGTTCTGGTGCCCATTCACCACCACCCCGCCCCTCCCAAATCAGACAAATGCCGTTTTGTCTGACCTGCTGTGGCCTCTGAGACATGTTCTATTTTTAACCCCTTCCTGGAATTGGCTCTCTTCTTCAAAGAACCAGGTCCTGTTCCTTGTTGTCCCCACTCGACCCCAGCTCCCCGTGAAGAGAGAGTTAATATATATTTTTATTTATTTGCTTTTTGTGTTGGGATGGGTTTGTGTCCAGTCCCAGGGGGTCCGATGTGGCCATTGCAGGCTGGGTGAGTGTCTAGCAGACCTGGATTTGGGGGCTGCCATCCTTCCTCTTCCTCTATGGCTCCCCTCAGTTTTTGACAGCCGCCGTTCATTTGAGTCACCCTCTTCTCGAAGCATGTGTCCCAGACTTGTCACCGATCCCCTTCTAACGCAGGTGGTTAGAGCAAAGGCTCTGAGTGGGAAAGGTGTTTTCCTGCTCCTCACTGGGAAGGCTGGCCTTTCTGCCATGGATTCTCACCTGCCCTCTGCCCTCTCCCCCCAGCAATTCCTGTAAAGGGTTAAAAATTTAACTGGATTTTTTTTTTAAAACTACTGATGACTTGACTTAAAAAAAAAATACAAAGATGCTGGATGCTAACTTGATACTAACCGTCGGATCGTACCGCTTGATTGTTGCTGTAAATATGGTAGGGTTTTGTTTTTGTTTTTTCCTCCCCATACTACTGAATAAACTAGTTCTGTGCAGGCACCGTGCCATAGCCTTGGCTTTTGTGTTGCAATCTGGGTGGAGGCCTGGATTTGGGGACCAGCACAGGTAGAGCCTCGAAGTTCCCACGAGGAGGACAGAGAGACTAAAGCCATATCAGCACAGAGCCCTGAACCTGGCTGTTTGAAGGAAGAGAAGGTGGGTGGGTAGGAAGGTACCTTTTCCCCAGGATAAAGGACTGGCATGGCCCAAGAGCCTCCACCTGTCAGACTGATACCCAGACAGGAACGAATTTTCTGGGGCAGAATTCAGTAGAGAGGGAGAGATGAGTGGCAGGTGGAATCTGTGGCCATTTTTTATTTGTTCTATTGGGGAATGAAGCATATATTCATTCTGGGGATAAGTGTGTGCTTGGCAACAGCGCTTCTAGTCCCACATTTTTGCTTGTCAGAGGTCCATCCAACAAAATAGGACTCACCGTGGGGGCAGCATAGGGATGAAATGATAAACAAACCCCAGAAGCAGGCGAAGTGGCCTCATTTGCCTGAGCCTTAGTTCCTGGGTCTACAAAATGAGGACAGTGGTAACAGCCTTCGCCTAATTGAGCTTTTATGAGGATTAAATAACTTAACACATGCAAAGTGCTTAAAACAGTTCACAGTGCATAGCAAGAGGCCAGCAAACACCTGCTTCCCCAGCTGTTGCTTGGGGAGGGGGGAAGGGGTGGTGGACAGAGAGTACACAGACAGGAAAATAGAAATCCAGGCCAGGGGCTGGAGAGATGGCTCAGTGGTTAAGAGCACTGGCTGCTCTTCCAGAAGTCCTGAGTTCAATTCCCAGCAACCACACAGTGGCTCACAATCATCTATAATGGGATCAGATGCCCTCCTCTTCTCTCTGAGGCTCTCTTCTCTCACGCAGGCACTACACCCAAGGAGAGCTCTCATATACATAAATAAATAAATCTTTAAAAAATAAAAATAAAAAAGGAAATCCAGGCCAAAGGAAAGGAGGCAGGCAGTTAGCTGAACAAGAAAGGCAACTATGGCAGGTAGGCACTACCAGATGAATGACACTTCAGCAGCTTTGGAGCAATGTTGGGTGGAGGCAGAAACTCAAGACTGACCCAGTGTGAGAGGGGAACATGCCTTGCCGGCTCCAGCCACCAGGTGGCAGCAACACAGGGGTCTGCAGCTGGCTTTGCCTCTTCACCACCCACAGGGACGTGGATCAAAAAAAAAAACGCCACCTACTGGCCATGCCTAGGTATGTGTTCTTCGACTTGTTGGCAGTACAGATGCCAGTCAGAGCAGGAGGTCACCAGCTACCCCCTGTTCCCTGAGTTCTGTGTGGTGACCTATCCACTCAGAGGATGGAGGCCCAGACTGGAAAAAAGGACAAGCAAAGCCTGGAAGACCCCAGGAGATCAAGGGGACTCAGCTACTGACTGGTCGGTAAGCTTGCCGTCTCTGTGGGCCACCTAATAGAACTCCCCCAAAGTCTCATTAGCACAGAGCCCTGGGCCAGGCTGACTGAAGGAAGAGGAAGGCAGGAGGCTGGGGAACACGCCTGAGGCTCTGTTGCCTCATGCCAAGGTCCTCCAGAACACAATAGATGGCATCTGGGTATCTGCCCCCCTCCCCCACATCGGTTTTTAGAATTTCAGTGGCTGTAGGAGCTGGTGCTCAAGATTCAGGGAAAGGAGAAGGCAGAAGAGGCAGCCACCGCGGTGTGTGTAGGCCCTGTGTGCTTACAGGTGTGTTAAATGAATCTGAAGGTCAGCCATAAAAGGGGAAAGAGTCCCTGATCGTGGGGATGGGGCGGAGCACCCAAGGCCTAAGAGGGGCACTTGTGGGCATATAGGCTTGGGTGAGATCGTCGCCAGCAGTCCCCTCTTCTGTTGTCAATTGTTTGCTCTTCATAGGAAATCGATTTAGTTCTGACTGCAAGAGTCAAAGGCCACAGAACCCGGGAGAGCCTAAGCGGGACTTTCAACAAGTACCCACCACCCCACCGTGTGCTCACTCTAAATGAGTTCAGTGCTCCACCACATGCAAGTCACAACACAAGAGCACTGTAGACATTTCTAGATCCTGACGCTGGCCGTCAAGTCCAGCAGGGGCGTGGAGAGGGAAGGACGGGCAACCCTGATGATGTGAGGTAGATCCGACTAAGCGTTCTGGTATCTTCTGGCTGAGGCGACCAGGGAAGCTGAACACCACCAAAGGGCCTCTTTATCCCCTAAGGGATTCCATCATCTTGTCAGAAATAATATTCAACTTGAAGATATATGAGTAACAGTAGACTTAGGTCCTAGCCTAGCAGCTCGGACACTGGGGCTGGAGCTACAGTTAACTGATCTGGACTGTCCGGAAACATGAAATTGTAGAAAGGCGGCCTGATCCCAGTTGAATGGTAACAGACTAGTCGCAGTTGGATGAGCAGGAGGTTCAAAGCCCTAGGACCTAGTGGTCCATCACAGCTCTCCTTACAATTACACAGAGGTTTACTTCAAATCTATTAAGATCTACTTTTAGATATGCAGAAAGAGTATATATAAAAAAATTCATTTTATTTAAGAAAAAAAATGCAGACTGGTGAGTAACCTTATCATCGATTGGCCTGTGAGGAGTCACAGAATACACAGGCAAGAAGCCCTGCATGCCAGGTGCCTGCATGGCCTCTCCCAACAGGCCAGAATCCAGTGGAGGAAACGATTCAGGAAGACCTCTCCTAGAGACCAGGAAGGCTGGCTGGTTCTGCAGGCCATTCACGTGTAAATGGGCCGGCAACCCACGGTCTGGGAAGAAGGTCAAGTTCTCTCGGGCTGACCACACGGGGAGACAAGTCACTCTGTCTTCGGGGAAGTGACCTCGGCCTCTCTCTTCTTCTTTCAGCCAGGGTGGGGGCGGGGGTGGGAGGAGTTTGAGTCTCCTCAAGCTCAACCCACCCCATCCTCCGTGGTCTCCACTTCAGAGATCAACCCCGGAGGCACTAACTCTTCCCCCCATCCTGGGCAAGAAGGTGCTGGAGTCAGGGACTGCTGGGGGAGGGTCCAGTCTCCGATGGCTAGGATGGTAGTGTAGTGGTTCTCTACTGAATACGTGCCTGCTGCCTGATCTTTTTACCTGAAGAGACAGAAGGGGGGAAACTGCTTTAGAGGGCCCTTCCTCTACGCCCATCTGGTACCCAGCCAAGTTCAAGCCCCCAGGATAGGAAAAGGCAGGAACCTCTCGCTCCTCTCTTGCCCACTCCACACAGAATTCAAGGATGCCGTGCACAGCGGCGTGGAATCCCAGCTGACGAGGGCGGAGGGACCAGTCTTACCTGGTAGGTCCAGGGACTGCAGCTTTCCTGAGGGGCTGCATCCTGCCTCGAGGGGCACCGGTGGTTGGAAGATTCGTTCTCTGGGGAACAGGAGCTTGGTGGGGATTAAGAAGAGATAAGGAGGAGCAAAGTTCAGTTGACCTCCTCCAAAGGATGGGCCTCCTCAGCCCCGGTTTCCCTGTCCGCAGCTGGAATGGCAAGGATGACGGTAGCACAGCTGGAGCGGGTAAGGCCAAGCTGGGCCATGCAGATGTTCCTCCACCTAATGCTTTTTGTTCTTGTGTGTGGTTTTTTTTTTTTTTTTTTTTGGTTTTCTGAGACAGGGTTTCTCTGTGTAGCTTTGCGCCTTTCCTGGAACTCACTCTGTAGACCATCCTGGCCTTGAACTCACAGAGATTCGCCTGTCTTTGCCTCCCGAGTGCTGGGGTTAAAGGCGTGCGCCACCACCGCCCGGCTTTGTTTGTTTTTTAGAGACAGGGTCTCTCTCTATAGCTCTGGCTGTCTTGGAACTCACTATGTAGACCAGGCTGGCCTTGAACAGAAATCTGCCTGCCTCTGCCTCCCAAGGGCTGGGATTAAAGGCGTGTACCACCATGCCCAGCTCTAATTCTTTTGTTTGTTGGTTTGATGTGGTTTTTATATAGTTAAGGCTGGCCTTGAACTCTTGATTCTCCAGCCTTTACCTTCCAAGTGCTGAGATTACAGACATGGCCACCATGCCTAGCCTGACCATGCATCCATTCTATCTTACCTCTGTGCCCTGCAGCACTTGGAAGCCCTTTCCGGGTGGAGAGAGAATCTGGGGGTAGGGCACTTTTGCCAGGCGGTACACTCCGGCTAGTGAGTGGCATTCGAGTGGCGGGCTTGGGGATGGCTGAGGGGACCGGTAATCGACTGGAAGACTTAGCAGCCGCTCCCTGGAGTCGGGATGAACACTGAGAGTTGCTAGTCGAGGGCTGTAGAGCTAGGACTGGTCTGACAGGGACTGGCGGGCCTGTGGAGAGGAGTAACGACATTTCAGGGTGAGTCCCACCTCCTCTCCCCCCCCCCCCCCCCCCCCCCCCCCCCCCCCCCCCCCCCCCCCCCCCCCCCCCCCCCCCCCCCGTACCGGCTTCCCCCACATCCTGGCTGCCCGGGGTCTCACTCGCTGTTGTCCGTGCACTGGGCCCAGCTTTCCGCCGGGGTGGAAGAGCTGATTGTGCCAGAGGAGAGAGTGCTGGGCTTCTGGCTGCAGGGAACAGATTGCAAGTGGGCGATTCCTGAAACAGAGCAAGGAACAGAAAGGGACTAGAATGGAGGCAGCATGTGTTCTGCTGGCTTAAGGCATTAAGGGAAAGAAGTAGGAAGCAGGCCGCTGTCTAGAACCAGCGAGGAAGAGATTAGCTGCCAACAAGATCCGGGGTAGGTGCTTTCTTTCTTTTTTTTTTTTTAAGTCATTTTATATTTATTTATTGTGTGTGACATACACATGGAGGTCAGAGGACAACTTGTGGGTGGTCAGTGCTCATCACGTAGGTCGCAGGGTTTTGAACTCAGGTTCATCAGGCTTGGTAGAAAGTGCTTTTACTCACTGAGCCCTCCATCTCACCAGCCTATTATTATTTTTTGAAACAAGGGAGTCATGTAGCCCAGGCTGGTTTCAAACTCAGCACACAGCCCCTCGAGGATGACCTTGAACTCCTGATCTTCCTGGCTCTACCTCCGGAGTCTTGGGATCAAAGTATGTACTTATACATTTACGTTTACCACGTCCATTGACGTGATACTGGAGATCAAACCCAGGGCTTTGTTGATGCTAGGCAAACTCTACCTACCCGGCTCCACCTCCAGCCCAATTTACTTAATCCCAACGATTCCATGGGTAGAACAGCTTTCTGCCTCTGGCCGGTGAGGGAACCACCTCGAGACCTTGAGTGTCTCGGGCAGACATGCAATCCCACTCTCCACACTCACCTTCTTTGTGCTGGGGGGCTTCTTTCCAGCTGTCACCCGAACAGCCCTGGCTGACCCCTTTTTATCGCTGCTTCGGGGTCCAGCGAGGCTGCGTGGGGATGGCGTGCTCCAAGAGCTCACAGTGGGCAGCAGATCTCGGACGGGGCTGTCCTTCAGGACAAACGTCTCCCGCCGAGGGCTGGGCTTCCCTCTGGGGCTGGGCTTCCCAGGGCCTGCCCCTGCCCGCTCACGATCTTGCAGGGCACACTCCTCTAGCTGAGCTGCCAGGCGGTTGGCTTCATCGAGGATCTCCTCCAGCTTCTCTGGGCTGAGAGGGCCCAAACTGAACCTCACACCCTGGAGAGCAGGGGCGACCGCATTCGGGTTCGGGTTACTCCGGTGAGAGAGGCCCCTTCGAAGCGGTTTCTCTGCACTCGCCAGCACTGTCGGGTCTTCCTCCTCGTGACTGAGAAAACAAATATGGCGCCATACCCCACAAAAGACAGCAGAAGACATTCCTGTAGTGGAGCCAGGGACAATCCCAAACCCTGACTCCATTTTGGCCGTGAGAACTGCCGTTAGGTGAGGAGAGACCTGGTTCTACTGAGGCCCAGCAAGCCTTTAGCATCTCTTGTTTTCTTTCGTCCCCACTCCCCATTTTCTGAGACAAGGTCTCAACTCTGTAGACCAGAATGATCTCAAATTCAAAATCCTCTCTGCTTCCACCTCCTCTGTGGGTATCCTCCTCTGGTCTATTCTGGTGTGTGTGGGGGGGGGGGGGGGGGGGGGAGGGTTCTGCACGCCCGACGCATTCCACGGGCATGTCTTAACATGCCCCAGCACATTTTCCTTTCATTTACATTGAACCCTACATTTCACTGCGGCTTCTTCATTCTCCTCACCAGCATCCGAGTTGTGTCCTTAGAGACCCAATTCCTCCAGACTGCTGGCATCAGAGTGCACTGTACCCTGCTAAATTACCAACCCCAGCTCTAGAGGCCAGTAAGTTAACACTAAAGGTTACAGCTAAAGATGTATTGTTGGAGGGAAATAGTAAGTAGGATAAAGGGGCTGGTACCTGTCAGATGGGGACAGCCCTCCAAAGTCCAAGGTCTCATCCGCAATGAACTTGACATCTGAAGGGATGAGAATAAACGCCATCTATCAGTCCCTGCAGGCTCTCAGGGCCTCCCTCCTCCCTCCGTGGCTTCCTTACCTTCTTTCAAATCCTCCATGCCCAGCCAGCAGAAGCGAGTCAGCTTAGACCTGAGCAGGAAAGACAACATGCCTACCTCAGGTATCTATCATCCTGCCCTAGGCCCCCATCTAGACTCGGGGTGCATTATCTGGGGTGGGGAGGCATGGTGGTGGTAAAGCAAGATCCCAGGAACAGCACGGGCCCCTGAAACTAGCCCGTTATTTTCGGGAAAGGTGCAGAGCGCTCGTGCCCCAACACCTGATGGGTGATCTGCCCCTCCTCAGTCGGGCAGTCTGCGCACTCCACCCCCCTCCTTGTTATTATCCGGGATTTCCCTCCTCTCTCCCCCGCCCCTCCCGCCACCTTTCCACTTCCCGGCACCACATCCCCGCCACACCTCCGGCGCGCACACTCCGTTTCCACTTCCCACCCCGCCTCACCGTCCACGCAGGATGCTTTTCTTCTACAACCTCCCAGTTCCCGGGAACAGGCTCCCGAGGGGCGGAGCTTCTTTCGAATTTCCTAGGCTCCACCCACCCCTGCCACACGCGCACAGCGATTGGCGAGCTCATGGGGGCGGGGCTGAGGCGGGAGCCGTCGGGAAGTCTGCAGAAGAAGGTTGTCGGGTGCAGCAAAGCTCCGTTCCCAAAAAGACTCCATCCGGGGGGCTTCGGAGGGGCGGCGGGCGGAGCCGCACGTGCGCGCGCGCGCGTGCCCGGGAGCGCCTCCTTCTGACTGCCTGCCAGAACCCGTGAGGAGCGGCCACAGCGGGAGAACCCGCCGACCAATGAGGGTTTGGAGCCCCGCCTCTTCCCCGCCCCCACCTCCTGCAGTCCAGGTTCCCCTGGGTTTAGTGGCTGGGTGCTTCACTTGCTTGCTGAGACCACCACTAGACTCTCTCCAGCCCCGAGGCACAAGAATTCTAAACTTAGCATAAGGCCGTTTCTCTGAGATAGCTGATATTTCTTCTCCTTGCTTTAACCCCCAAATGACGTGTATGAACAACTACTTAAGAGTTTAAATAATGAATTAGTGAAAAAAAGTTATACTTCCAGGCACACAGTAAGTCTTTGCTAAGAAGGTATTCCATAAGTGTCAAATTCATAAATAATAATAGTTAAAAAGAATTTCAGGGCAGTGCTCCTTAAATGCAGAAGGGTTACATAAGCTAGAGATCTTGCCCTGTGAAGATTTTCTTTCTTTGCCAGGATGTTGGAGATGTGTGAACTTTAATGGCGGGCCTGTGAATAGTAGAGCAAATAGCGGAGGCCGAGGTCTGACTGAGTCCCCAGTCACTGTGGATATCCCACCACCTTCTGTCCTAGGCCTGCTTCAGGTGGAAGGAGGCCTCTGCCGTTGTATACGTTGTTGCCTCGCTATGATCTGACCTCTTTTCTCCGTTCATTAATACACACACACACACACACACACACACACACACACACACACACACACACACACACGCGTGCACGCACGCACGCGCCATCTCTGTCTCTTTCCCCTTTGTTTTTTGTTTTCTGAGACAGGGCCTCATGCTGGCCTTAAATCACCATGCAGCCAGCGATGATCTTGAAGTCCTGATCCTCCTGCCTCTACCTCTCAAAGCGCTGGGATGAAAGGCCTGTGCCACTGTACCGTAGGACTAGCCTGTGTGCCAGCTGCCTCCGTCTTCAGGAGTTCTGTCCTACCTGCTCTGGAAAGATCATCACGGCTGGGCCTGAGGACTGTTCACGTTCCCTCATAGAAGGAAGAGGTGTGGTCGGATGGGACTTGAGTATGCGGCCATCCCTCTCAACCACGTGTATGCAATCTGTCCTAATTGCACGTGGTTTGGGGGCGGGGCTACAGATCTAAGTGAGGGGGAGGGGAGGGCGTTTCTTCCGGCTGCCATGGAGAAGCCATCATCTCTGCAGGACTCAGACCTTCGAGGGCAGCAACTGTAAGGTCATCTGTGTTCCTGCCTGTGACCTCCAGCCACCGCTCTGTAAGTAGGCCTGTTGAGTTTGCTGGTTCCTCTGGGTAAACCTTGGTGGACTCCTACTGTTGCTTGTCATTGGGACCTTGTTTTATGTCTCTCCCAGGGAAGAACTTTTAGCAACAGCCACCACCATCCCTGGCTCTCGCCTACAATCTCAAACAGGTGTTCCATAAGGACATTAGATTTGCTCATTGTTTTTTCAGTGTTTCCCAAGGCTGGTAGGTGAGTAGTAACTTTTTAGTTGGGTAAGAAGCTGATTTGTGGCATAGGGTAGGTATCTTAAGTCTCACGAAACTCCAGAAAAGGGCTGGAATAGACTCAGCCTTCATTGAAAGTAGATCTCTTTGGTTTGAAAAACAAGAAAGCCTTTTGGATTCTTCTCAGCTAACCTATGTCCCTTTCCTTCTCATAAATGTGGCCCTATATCCGCGCCCCCCCCACCCCGAAATGTTTTCTCTTTTAAGCCCATGTTTCCAACCATACTCAGAGTGAAATAGATGAGGAAAAATGGAGAAGGCCTGCAGTCAAACCCTGGCTCTGCCACTTACCACCAGATCATGACTTGAGGGGTTTTGAACTTAATCTTCTTATTTGTAACATGAAGATTAAAAGAAAGGCATCACTTCATTAGTTCCTGATGCATAGAAGGCTATTTATGTGCATGCTTGCACACACAGTCTCTCGCCCCCTGACCCCCTTCCTGTTCTTGCTTTCTCTTGCTCCCTCTACCTATTCACTAAGGATCTTGGGAACCCAGGGCACCGCAGAGACAGAAGGCAGCTTCAGGCACCAGTAGGGAGGGCCCTGTGAGCTAATAAGAACCCTGTCCTTCTGCTGACACTCTCCAGGGCTGACTCTCACAGTTACCCATCCACAGTGCAGGCTTAGATTGGCAGGACAGGACAAACTTCTCTAGGGCCTCTCAGGAGGTTGCTCACTAGAGCAGGGCCTTAATGCTGAAGGGAGGGGCTGGAGAGGTGGCTCAGCAGTTAAGAGCACTGGCTGCTCTTCCAGAGGATGTGAGTTCAATTCCCAGCACCCCCATGGCAGCTCACAACTGTAATTCCAGTTCCAGGGAATCCAATACCCTTACACAGATGAACATGTAGGCAAACATCAATGCCAACATATACATCATTAAAAAAAATGCTGAAGGAAACCAAGGCAGCTGCTGAAGTTTAGTGCTCCGCAACCGAGCTACAATGGTCTGTTCTGTAACACAGTGGCCTCAGTTATCTAGTATGTAACAGTCCACTTCAGAAAGAACTGGCTTAGGAGCTGGGCATGGTAGTGCTGCGTGCCTGCCATCCCAGCACTTGAAAGATCAAGGTAGGAGAATCTTGAGTTGAGGATCTTGAAAAAAAAATTATTTTCTTTATGTGTATGTGTGTGTGCCTGCATATATGCATGTGCACACGTGTGTGCCAGTTCCTATACAGGCCAGCAGAGGGCATTTGACCTCCTGGAACTGAAGTTACAGGTGGTTGTGAGCCATCATGTGGGTGCTGGGAACTGAACCCAGGCCCTCTGGAAGAGCAGTCAGTGCTCTTAACTGCTGAGCCATCTCTCCAGCCCTGAGTTTATGGCTCTTGGTGATATGAGTACAGTGGGCAGATAGGAATGGGAGGGACTGTTGTCATCTCTTACAGATCCCTTCACAGAATATCTTCAATATATGACTTGTTATACGCATGAGAACAAATAGAAGCAGGAGGAGCAACCTCCCAGGGCTCGGGTCTTTGGGGCTCTGCCTTCAGTTAGTTCCATGGGATTGATTGTGTTGGGCTGCTTACTGCTTTGTAATAGGTGTGCATCCTTTTACATCACTTTAGGAGGGAAACCGGTGGAGGAAGACAGCAAGCCATCTTCATCTTTTTCCAGTGCCTCCTGCTGTGTAGAACTGAATTCAGTTCTGATAAAGGGCCTGGGGTAAATGACAGAGTCAGAAGCCTCGGTGCATAGATGTGGCTCATTCTGTAGAGTGCTTGCCTAACTAGCTTGCATGAAGTCCTGAATTCAGTCCCTAAGATCCCATAAACTGGAGTCTTAGGCCTGTAATCCCAGCACTCAGGAAGTAGAGGCAGGAGGATCAGAAGTTCAAGACGTACGTATAGAGTTCAAGACCAGGCTGGAATTTATAAAACCCTATCTCAAAAAGGAGACGGGCAGGGGAGGGGGGCCACTTCTGTAAGATAGAGTGTGTGAATATGAAAGAACAGAAGAAAAAGAGGAATCTTAGGGTTCTGGGATCATCTAGTCTGGTTGAAGGACTGCAACCTTCATAAGGTTTCCCTATGTAGAAAGGCTCAGAAAGAGGACATATCAAGAACTGAGGATCTATATCTTTATTTAGTTTAGGCCAAGCCAGCTAAGGCTTCTTGAGAACATAGTCTTGTCAGAGTCGTGCTCCCAGGAGGCCCTGCAAAGAGAGGGCGTGTTATCCATCCTAGCAGGCAAGCAGAGCACATCCAGGATGTGCTGAGACCATCTCCCTTCATGGTCCCTGGATCCAATGCTATAGATTGACTGCCCACCATGCACTACTTCTGGGAGACAGAGGGAACCAAGGACAGGAAAGATCAACCCTGACACAATATGGTATCGATAGAGAGGGCGGGGAAGGAGAAAGATGTTCACAAGCCAGCTGGCAGAGGAAGCTCTCCTGAGGCGAGTTTGTGTGTCTAATGCAGCCCATAGGGTTTTCATTTGCTATGTATCATTGATGGGCTTAAATAAATGGCTTGGGGGATTGAATCCATGCTCAGTTTTTTTCAGCCAGGAGCTGAAAGTCAGAGGGAATGTTGGGAGCTAGGTCTTTCACCGTACCCATCAGTTTATACATACAGCATTTCCCCTGTGAATGATGGGGAATTTGAAGCAGCTACCACATTCTAGATAATGATCCAAGCGGCCCTTTGCCAGTGATAAGCGGCTTGGAAACCACATACCCAAATGTTAAATTATTGTTGACATTTAACAAAAATGATTTTCTTCTGTTGAACAGGAAGAAATGCATAAAATTTAAAAGAATATAGACAAGCTGCTTTGTTTCTTACCCTGCTTATGATAGCGAGGTAGAAAGATTTAGCAGAACTGTTCCTACCTACAGTGAGGGTCTGTGCCGGTGGAGACTCTGGTCTCTTTCTCTTACAGTCCCCACCCAGCTCTTCCCACAGAACCCCTGACTGGGTAGAAGCTTACATTCTCCAAGGATTACTAGGGTTCTTCCCTATCATTGACCTGAGTAGAAATGCACAGAATCTGACAAAAGTAGGCTTTATTTCTAGCTGTTCCCTCCAAAGAGCTGACAGTGTTAGAATTTAAAAAAAAAAAAAAAAGTCACCAGGGGCACATGGTTGAAAGGCTTACATCCATCCCAAACTCAGCAGCATTCGCCCCAAGCATGAAATAATCCATTGAGACATCATTTCCCTCCTTCCTTACCTTCCTTGAATTTCCTGTCTTCATAGGGCAGCCTTAATGAGGAGCTACAAAAATGCAGACATTTCTCAATGTTAGCATTGCCGACATCTCTGGAAAACCTCTCAGAGCATTGGGAATGGATGTCCTACTTAGCTTCGGCGGCGTCTGTGATGCTAACAAGGGAGTCTATACGTAGAGAACAGGATATATAAAGGCCCACTCATTCATGATTCATGCAACAAACGTTTAGCTACGGCCTTCTGTGTGTCAGCACTAAGCTGGACACTGGGGACAGCGGTCTCTCCCAGCTGGTGGTTTATTGGAAGACAAATCTATAAGTAGAAAATTACAAAGTAATGTGCTGGGATGATATCATTTTGCTATGTATAGGTATATATAGGTATATAGGTATGAGATTCTGAAGACTAAAGAAAGATAATAATTAAAAAAAAAAATACCCCCCTCCCAAACCCGATAATATGCTAGGTTTAGTGATGGGGATTCTGACAAATGAATGGGTATCTCAGGCAGGAGGAGAGTGCAGTGCTACCTAAACAAGCCAGAGGGGAAAGCAGAATAAAAGCCTCTGCAGCCGGGCGGTGGTGGCGCACGCCTTTAATCCCAGCACTCGGGAGGCAGAGCCAGGTGGATCTCTGTGAGTTCGAGGCCAGCCTGGACTACCAAGTGAGTTCCAGGAAAGGCGCAAAGCTACACAGAGAAACCCTGTCTCGAAAACCAAAAAAAAAAAAAAAAAAAAAACAAAAGCCTCTGCAGCGTCATGGGCTGGGACAAAAGATCACAGGGCTTAAAGAACAGGGATCTGAGCGAGGGGCCTTGGGCTCCTGCTTCTAGAGTGCTAACTGCCACTGGCAAAATAGTTAACCTCTGATGCTTCACATTTGTCCTTAAAAAAAAAAAAAAAGGAAATAGTGATTCTTCCTACACTATTGAGTTGCGATGGACAGAGATGAAATGTTGGGTGTTCTTGGGTGATGGGCTTCTAGTGCATCCTTAATGGTGACAGCCACACGGAGGCCCCAGTCAGTTGTGATGGTTAATGGTCATGCTCTCTTGACTGGATTTAGTTACCTCGGAGATCATCTCTAGGCACGTCTGTGAGGGTGTTCCTAGAGAGTTTTAACTAAAGAGGGAAGACCTGCCCCAATCATGAGTGACATCATCACACAGGTTGGGAGCCTGAACAAAAAGGCAAAAGGAAAACACGGATGGACATCAGCGTTCATCTCTCTCTGCCTCCTGATGAGTCCAGATGTGAGGAAGCAGTCTCATGTTCCTCCTGCTGCTACCGAGATCCACCCCTGCCCTGTTGTGGTCTTCCCTGCCCTGACAGACTGTGCCCTCAAGCCATGAGCCAAATCGGTCTTTCGGCAAGTTGCTTCTTGTTGGGTATTTGGTCACTGCAACAGGCAACGCATACAAAGCAGGGACCTTTTCCATCTCAGCTTGTGTCATTCTTGGATGGTGGGAGGAGGGGACATTGGCACTAATTCTCCATCTTTACCTTTAACGTCCACCCGACAGTCCACGGATGCCTCCCCCAGGGCATTGATGGCCTTGCAGGTATAGATGCCTCCATCAAAGGGACTAGGCTTGCGGATCTCCAGGGAGCAGATCCCCAGGTGACTGAGGGCTCTGTACTTGGGGTTGCCTTGGAGATCCATCTTGTTCTTTAGCCAGATGATCTTGGGCTGGAAGATGAAGATGAGGGGCAGCAGAGCAGGTAAGACCCAATCATCCTCTCCATGCTCCGTGTCTGGGACTCTGCCCTCAAGGCTGTAGATGATGGCTGTCTGCCAGTTTCCCTGCCCCTGATGTTGTGGGATTGGACTCCCCTTTCAGTACCTTCAGCAGTGGCTGGAGTTCCTCCTTGTGTTTGAATACAGTGACTGAACCCTAGTCCACTCCAACAAATGTCCCTGACTTGGAAGAAATTGCTCAAGGAGCCATCATGTATTATGACTGGGCATCAAGGTCTACTTTTTAAATTAAAAAAAAAATTTTTTTTGAGATAGGGTCTCCCTATGTAACCTTGGCTGTTCTCCCTATGTAGACTAGGCTCGGCTGGCCTCAGACTCACAGAGATCACTCTTCCTCTGCCTCTGTAGTTCTGGGGCTAAAGGTATGCATTACCACACCTATGTGGAGCTATGGGCTCCACTTAAAAATTATGTGTGTGTGTATGTATATACATACATACTTATACGCATAAATATACACACATATATAATTATATATAATATAAATACACAAAAAATACATATTTTAAAGCTGGGCAGTGATGGCACACACCTTTAATCCCAGCAGTTGGGAGGCAGAGACAGATGGATCTGTGAGTTCCAGGCCAGCCTGGTCTACAGAGTGAGTTCCAGGTCAGCCAGGGCTGCACAGAGAAACCCTGTCTTGAAAATGTTTTTAAATACCATCTGTGTGTGGGGGGGGAGGCTGAAGGGTACACTGGTGCCATAACGCATGTGTGGAGGTCAGAGGAAAACTTCCAGCTTTCTTTCTTTCCACCATGTGGGTCCCAGAGATCAAACTCAGGTGGTCAGGCTTGGCAGCAAGCACCTTTACCCCCTGAGCCTCTTGCAGCTCAGGGTCTCCATTTTTTTATGTACGTATTGTGATCCATTCATATCCTATCCCCACTGTTTATGAGTGGTTTCTGTCCCCTCTGTTTTCGGAAGTGGTTTCTAGGGTGGTTTTATCACAATTCCCCTACTAAGATGTTATCTCCACACAGTTGACCTGTACTTGTAATCCAAGTTACTTGGTAAAGGCTGCTACGGGTGTGGAGTACAAAGACCAGGTTGCATGCAGAGCAGCGTGCATGTGTGTAGCTCTGCACAGACATGAGGAGTGAATAAAGAGAAGCCAGTGGGAATCAGACTCTTCTGCCAGATAACTAAGTGGAAGTGATGTCTTTGTGCATGAGGACCCCACACTCAAAGGAAACATCATTTACATCCATCCATCTTGAATTACAGACACCCTGACAGTTCCCAAGTAACCTGCTGTTGGGGAGGCAGATGGTGCCTCTGGCAGCAGATGTTCAATTAGAATGCCCTGTGACATAGCTCAGGTTAGGATGAGACAGCAGCAGGAAGCAGCTCAGGACACCCCCGTCCCCCAAGCTCCCTACTCACCCGGGGGGAGGCGCGCACACAGCAGAAGAGCTGGGTGTCGTAGCCAGTGATGGTAGTGCAGTCTGCCAGAGGCTGGGTGAACTTGGGGGCTTCTGAGAGATCCCGCTGGGCAAACCCCTTGGTCTTGTAAACAGTAGCTGTGGGTACCAAGAGGAAGCATGATGTGGCATCTGAGAGCCTTGTCCTGCTTCAGTTCCGTCTTTTTCTGAGTCTTGTCAGCCCGTGGTCTCAGCTTCCTTACCTGCCTTCTGGATGTGGGCGAGGTCAGCTGTGACTGGAGCTGTTTCACTGAGCCCACACTGGTTCTCGGCAAAGACACGGAAGGCATAGGAGTTGCCAACGATGAGGTCGGAGACAATGCAGCTGGTACGGTGATAACGCTCCAGGACCGTGAACCACAGCTGTGGGGTCCCCAGGAGATGTCATGTGTGAGACACCAAGGCTTTGGGGGTTTCTTTCTTTCTTTTTTTTTTTTTTTAATCTCACCCCATGTGGAGCTGCCAGAAGATCATTCCAGAATGCCTGCCTCCCTCCCCCCTTCCCAGATGGGCCTCACCCCAGACTTTCTGTCAGCCTTCTGCACCGTGTATCCCAGGAGTGCCGTATTGCCCGTATCTTGTGGAGGTGTCCATTCCAGAGTAGCGTTGGAGCCCCAAACATCCACCAACTTAATGCTCTGAGGAGGACCTGGCTTCTCTGGAAGGGCAAAGCCATGGCGTGGGCACTGTGCCACCCACATGTGTTATCTCACTTAGAGAGGACCCCTGGCTCCTTTCTCTCCCATCGCCTGCCACCTTGCCAGGGACTCTCAGAGATGGGCTCCTGGTCATCCCAGAGACCCCAGAGACCACCTCTTCCATTACCCAAACTTACCGATCACCAGGATATTGATGGTGGCAGTGGCCTGCAGTCCACCAAGCCGCACACAGAGTTGGTAGCATCCTGAATCAGCACGCTGGGCTTCTCTGATGAAAAGGATGGAGTCCTGCTCCCCGTTCCGCACACTCACACGGCTGTTGTCCAGGGCAGAGCCATTGTGAGTCCAGGTGGTCTGAGGTTTGGGTTTGCCCTGAGCAGTGGGGATAAGGCTTGAGCATCCCCAAGAGGCTTTTATGTTCTCTCTCTCCCTCTCTCCCTCTCTCCCTCTCTCCCTCTCTCCTCCTGTTGCTGCAGGAGTCTACCCCAGACCCACAGGGTATCTTGACATGGAGTTGTATTCCTTAAGCTAGAGGTTTGTTTGTTTTTTGTAGACTTCTCCAGGGAACTCCCTCCTTTCAGGGTAGTCTCAAGAGACAGGGGGAGCTGGCTTTGAGTCTTTCATGGATACTTAGGGTAACTAGGTAGCTGCCCAGACTCCTAAGAACCCTCTAAAACTGAGGGCCCCTAGACCTCTGCAGACTGCAGGGCCTGGCTTAGCCTTACCTCCTTTCATGGGACATATCTGTCCTAGCGAAACCCAACCTTGGGAGTGTTGGAAGGTGGTGATCTGGCCTCAGACTTCTGGTACTGTGGGTCCTCTCATTCAAGGCCAGAAAGACTGCCTCAGTCCTAGTTCTGTTTCCAAGTCAAACCTTGACCTGGTCCCAACATGGGGCTGGTGTGATCACCTGGAATGGGATTAGTAGATTCACTGTGTCCCCAACCTTCCGGATGTAAGTCTGTCTCAGGGCCCGAGGTAGCCAGATCTTGGGGTGCTCTGAGTGATAGAAAGAGAGAATAGGAAATGGATACTCAGAGAAAGTGGGTGCTGCATCCAGTAGTACTCTGTGGGTAGTGGCCCAAGTGACCGTCAGATTAAGCCCCTATCATAGGGACTGTTCCTAGACCCTTCCGTTGTGCTGGGGATCAAACCCAGCCATCTCAGTCATTCTAGTGTTCTGTCATTAAACCATTAATGCCTTTCCCATTTTGTGCTGGGATTTGGGGAGCAGTTGGCTGAGGAGCCCCAGGAAAGGCTAAAGTTAAAGTCTCCATGGGAGCTGGATGTGGTGGTGCCCACCTGTGACCTTAGCACCTAGGAAGTGGGGCTGGATGGACTGTGTGGTGAGACCTCCCCGAAAACCTGGGCTCTCAACCGCTGCTTGTTTTGATTTGTAACTCTCAGCCACCCGCTTTCTGTCTATGTGAGTTTGGTTCTTTTCCATGTGCAGACCCTTCCGTCTCCACAGCTTGTCTTTTCAGTGGTTTTTGCTTGGTCCATCATAACATTGTTGTCAAAGTGAATTGTCTCCCAGTTGGGTGCAGGCCTTGAGAGAAGGCTTTCTGCTCTGCGGAGTGTCAACACCCTGTCCTCCCATGGAGGCAGTGCTGAAGTCATCCCAGGGGAGCCAGCGTCTGGGTCCTTTCTCCTCACGTCCACCCTGCTGCCAGCACTGTGTGCTGTTCTTCCGTCACTTCATACAAGCAAACTCAGGAGGTTGGGGCCGTTCCTTACTTGCCTCTGCTCTCCAGACATGCTCCAGTAAGCTCTGGGAGATTAGATATCTTTTGTTGCCTTCCAGGATGGGGGCAGGAGGTGCTCAGGGGATTGCAGGGTTTGGAGCCTGGAAGTCCTGTTCTCGGGAGGATGCTGTGGGTTACCTTGACTGTGGATGTGCAGACATCCCACCTGGCTCACTTGAGGACCACTTTTTCCTCCTACCTTTCCAGGGTTGCTGTTTCCTCTTTTCTCAAGGGCTTTTATCTTAAGTAGACTGTGATACCGCCTCAGTTCCCACGACAACCCAAGACTTCCTGCCAAAATTTATTCCTAGAGTTGAAGAAATTCCAGCCCTGGTACATTCCCGTGGCATGAGTGTTTGACAAGGCGTTCCAGGTTTGCTGATAGTCCACATTTCCCTGAGAGTACATTCCTGTGCATTCATCCCGACATAAGTATGTTTGCTTATAGACTGAACAGCTTAAATGCATACATTGTGTAAAGCAACCCTTCAAATGGAGAGAGTTAAGAGGAAAGAGACAGAGGTCCGACTGTGTTCTTTGTATGCCTCCATTTGTAGACTACCCACCCCCACCCCTCCCACCCCCCACCCCCGTCATGCTCTCAAACCACTTATCTTTAGAAGTTAATACAAATACGAAACACTTGCTGGGACCGTGTCGTTTATCTAGTCCCCTTACTTTGCTGTTCTCCCCTGGGTTGGACCTGATTTGGTCTGTACCCTTTGGAAGCTGTGTGCCAAGTGGACATGAGTGTTCTCAGTAAGAACAGGGCAGGCATGGCGCCCAGACTCCCAGTGACCCTGCTCGGTCTGCTCTCTGCTGACTTTGGTGGTGGGGGTGGGGGGGTGGGGGGTAGGGAGGTGGGAGGTGGGGGGGTGGAGTGGGGCGGGTAGGAACAACAGAAGTGTTGTATGATGCATTCCTTTCCTGTGGCCATCTTGGCAAGTAACCAAGGGGCTGAGCACAGGCAGATGTGAGAGAATTTTTTTTCTTTTTAAAGGAGGGAAGTAATTGAAAAAGGTTCAAACAAACAAACAACAATAAAAAACCTCATCTTGTTGACCTTGGTTTTCCATTGTTGGGCAAGGAAATAACCTTTCACACTTCCAAGGAACAGGCTCCCCTGTCCCTGTGCTGTCTACAGGGTATCAGAGTTAAAAGGATCTTAGTGAGTACCTAGAAAAACAAGCCAACTGGAGATGGGGAGGCTCAGAGAGACACTGACTTGCTGAGCTCCAGGCTAGGTGTGGAGTTGTGCCTGGCACCCAGGACTCCTGCCTCCCTCGCTGGGATCAGACGTGCAAAGGGCCCATTTTCTAAGCATGGCTCCTCCATCCAGTCTCCCACCCTCATCGTGTCTCTCTAGACCAAGGTGCCTGACTCAGGGCCTGCTGTGACCTCCAGTGACTCAGGAAGAGGGGGAGGAAGGGAGGCAGAAGGTTGGTTAGGCTCAGGGACCGAGAAGGGTTGAGTTGAGGGCGATAGGAATCAGGCTTCATGCTGAGAGACACATTAACTGATCCCTACTTCATCAAGGTTTCCGCTCAAGAATCAGATCTGGACTTCTACTGATGGATGCAAGCTAATATCTGTTTCTACCTGGCATTTCTTATTTCTTACCAATTTTCTCGTAAAACGGTAGCTTTCTTTCAGCCACACTAGAGAGAAAAAGCAGTGCAGAGCTGGGAGGATTTCCGGAGCAGCCTTTGAGGTCTCAAGGGGAGCCCACTGGGGCAGCCGGAGGAAGGAGGGCACAGTGGAGATGCGGAGGGAGGGAGGGTCTCCCTCCCTGAAGCTCTTTATTTATAAGGGAGCCCCTGACAAGATGACCATGAAGTCATCAGGGTGTCCCTGACTTTCTGGGGCAGTGGATGAAGAGACTCCCCAGGGAAGAGCCGCAGAAGGTCTTGAGAGTGACCACATGCCGGTTAGTAGAGAGGGTCTGGCAGCCAGAGGTGCCCTGTCAGCAGAGTTCTGTCACCTCCCAAATTCAACCTGGTCAGCAACCTGACTCTTTGCTCAGAATGTTAACTGAGGGCTCCTTGGAGACATCTCTCTTCACACCTCCAGTCAAGTGAGGTGTAAATTGGACTGACCTTGGGGAGGTTTCCCATCACACCCAAGGGCTTTTCCTCTTCAGATGTCAGGGAGCCACATGACTCAGAACCCAGAGCTCTTAGGCAGAGCCTCAGTGTTCTTAGGCCAGGACCGATGGCCACAGTTTGGTTTTCTCCCCTTGTGTTCCTGGGGCGAAAGCATTTTGTTATTTCCCTTGAGAAACATTGACCTCTGAGCTGGGTTGGTCTCAGCATTTTTTCTCCAATAGAATGTTGTCTAAGTCTCAAAAATGTAATTTATTTTGAGTCCTAAGATCTACGATCTACCCCAATTTTATTTTTTATTTTTTTAAACAATTTATCTTTATTTTATGTGCAGTGGTGCATGCATGTATGTCTGTGTGAGGGTGTCAGATCTTAGAGTTACAGACAGTTGTGAGCTGCCATGTGGGTGCTGGGAATTGAACCCGGGTCCTCTGGTAGAGCAGTTGGTGCTCTTAACCACTGAGCCATCACTCCAGCCCCTCTACCCCAATTTTAAACTGCTGAAGTTCATGCTCATTTTTCCCCCTATTCTCATAGGAAATAATTGGCCATATCCGCTCACAATTTTCTTCTACATGGTCAGAGATTTTCCTCTAGTACTCTCCTAAGATTGTATGATTCATACACTGCTACTATCTATGACCTGTAGAGAGAAGAAAAGTGCAGATGCATTGGAGAATGGTGTGTGCGCGCGCACACGCATGTGTGTGTGTGTGTGTGTATGTAAATGTGTAGATTTGTAAGTGTGTATGCATGCATGTGGAAATGCATACAAACATAAACATATGCCTGTGTGAGTAAGTGCTTACCAAAACAAGGGCAGAAAGTTCAAGCCATCTGTGGATTTAAAAGTAAATATTGCCAGCGATTTGAGAAGTAAGCACCGGACTCTCTTAGAGAAACGTTTACTGCTACCCAAGGCGTAGCCTTAGAAACCTGTTTGGTAGAGTGTGGTTGGAAAAGAATGGGTAGACCTTGGAAAAACCTCCTTGTGAAGGCCAACAGTGTCACCTCCTTGAAGACAGTGAAAGCAGGATCAGGAAAACCAAAAGGATATAGAAGCAGAAATAACGGTTCTCTGTGACGAAGACCCCTCATCCCTTATTCTCATAGTTGGTGGCTTTGGCCCCTGCTTACTGCCTCTGTCAACACTGCTCCACTCAGAAGGCCTGGTAATTCCAGTGTCCGTCCTTCTAACCCCTGCAGCTCCTCTCACACCCTGGCTCACTGTATAAAGTGAGGGTTTCGGCACCAGATATATGAAGTGAGGACTTGGCAGCTCTGAGATATGGTTAAAGGGGAAGGTCTTTATTGTAAAAGAGTGCGGAGCAGGGAGAGAAAGTGGTGGACTGAACATGACCAACAGACTGGACCCGGCCACGAGAGGAGGACCGAGAACAAGAGAGGACCAAGAGAGGGCATGGCCGAATGGGCAGGGTTATATAGGGATGAGAAGCTGGAGGAAGAGAGGCCCAGGAGCTGGAGAAGTTGACGGTGGGGGGCTGAGGGCGGGGTGAGAAAAGCCGAGAGGAGCCACAGGTACTGAGTGAGCCTGGAGGCCCCCAGACATGGCATGTCTGCTATGGTGCCTCCTAGGTATGCTGATAGGAACTGCAGTTAGCCATTTGCTCAGTTTCGTTTGGACCTGATACTCTCACCGATTCAATGCCTGCTTCAGCCACTGGATCCTGTGGTCATTCTCTAGACCCAGAAACTGCAACCTTTCCATGATCTGGAGGGTGCTGCACTCACTCCACACCTCTTTAACAAAGACAGCTCCTTGACCACCAACTCTGATGTTACCTGATGTCACAGTACATCTGGGCAGTGGCTGTCACACCAGGGACTAGTTCTCTCCAAGGAAGTGTGAGTAGAAAGTGTGGGAATTGCTTCAGTGCCAGAGCTCGTAACAGGTGACTTTTCTGTGCCCCCCCCCCCCGACTCCTATCTGTAGGCAGATGATCATAGGGCCCCCTCAAGTGGCAAAGCCCCCATAGGAAAATGGCCCTAAATTGCTTTGTGGAGAATGAGCTACCTAATAGGGACACTTATTTCCAGTCCTGCACCAGCAGTCAGCTCACGCTGTCCTCAAGGGGGGCTTGTTTCTTGAGCCGGCAGCCCCTGACTGATGCAGGCTCTCCTTTTGCCTCTCCTCCTCAATGCTGCCAGTACTGCAGTTCTGTCGAGCCGCTGAGGCGTGGCACCTCCCCCAACCCCCCCACCCCCCACCCCGTGGCACCCATCCCTTGTTGCCTATCCTACTCTTCCCCAGCAGCCTGGAGTTCACGGTCATAACACCCACTTTCTTGCATAATCACCCCGGTCCTTCAGTCCTCTCTCACTTCCTAACACCCTCTTGGCAGCGCCTAATCCTAATTAAATAAGCCTTCCACCCACACAGAGTCTGGGTCTGCCCAGACAAGCATGCAGGAGGAAACAGAAGCTTTGCTGACTTGACGTCAAAACACAATGTATACGTACGTGTATGGAGTTCTTGACAAATAAAGTGATGTATGTATGAGATGTGACACCTTAGAGAGGTGACATCAAGCTACGCAGAGAAACCCTGTCTCAAAAAACCAAGAAAAAAAGGTGACATCAAAGTCCCTCCCTTCCATAAATTCCCTCAGCCCCTGAGAATCCAAATGTGAAGTGTGACTAGCAATATGTAAATGATCTATTAAAATGGAATTGGTTATATAAGCAATTAAAAATATGCTGATTTGACTATTATGATGCTGCTTCCCCATGGACTTTGATACATTTTTTTTTTTTGAGACAGAGCCTCACTTATATGTAGACCAGGCTGGTTTTGAACTCACAGAGATCAACCTGCCTCTGTCTCCCAAGTGCTTGGTATTAAAGGCTTATACCACTACCAGCATTCCTGATGAACTGGCAGTTCTGTCCCATGGCCTCAGCTCACTGTCAGCTCTCCCTCTCTCTCAGCAGCAGATGATCGTCCTAGTGGCTAAGAAACACCCACTGTCTTCTTAACACAGTGCCTAGAAAAATCCCTGAATCACGCACTTGATCATGTCAGTCCTCATTTACAACCCTGCATTGGCTGCCCATCGTCCCAGAATCAATCTGTCCTTCACAGTGCTGTGGCTTGATAACTCTCTGCCCCTCCGTCCTCCCTCACTGTGCTGTGGCCTCAGTGGCCCAACCCATGAAGTACATTCCTGCCTCAGGACCTTTGCACTTGTTCTGTCTACCGAAAAAATAGTCCACTTACGTCTACTAGATTGCAGCTCAAATCATCCTGTCTGTAAGGCCTTTGCTCACCATCTGTTTGGAACCTGAAGTTTGCTTCCCTCTCCCTCTGGCACTTGGCCTCCTTCCCTGCGGTAGTTACTTTTGACACCCTCTGGCCCACTCAGTCTTTCACTTGTCTCTTTCCTTCTATGGGAATATACCTTGAAGGCATCGTTTTAACTCATTTTGTTTAGTTTTGTAGCTGGATACTGCTAGGATACTGTCTAGCGTATCATAGGTGAGGAGGAAGTCAATGTTTGTAGGGTGAGGAAGGGGAGCACGGAGACAGGCTGACTCCTCCGGGGCGTGAGATCAGCTCCCATGCCTGGGAGACACTGGGAGGTTCAGATGAGATGCAGGGCCACAGCTGCTCGGAGCAATTCTGTTGAAATTAGCAGCTGACCTTCTCTGCCTCAAGGCTTCTCCAACTCAAGGGTGTAACTTTCCTCGCCTCCCTTCAGCTCCTTCAGGTTTTGACTCCTGGACCCACTCCCTTGGTGGGGCGCTGAGGATAAATGGTGCCAATACCACCTGTGTCGTCCTGCTGGTTTGGCCATGTAGTTGGACTGCATGCCCCTTGTTGGGCAGTTGTGATTGTGCCAATGAATTTCTGCCCGCCTGGCTCGCCCTGCTCTCACACGCTCTCTGCGTGACCCCTCAGACCCTGTGCCCTCTATGAGGAACAGGCGGTGTAAGGAGGCAGACAGTCTTTGGAACGCTCAGAGAAGTTAGGAGTCATAGGTCCTGTTCCAGGCATCCTTCAAGATTGGTAGATGGGCTTCAGAGACTCTGTGAACTTAAGGAACTTTTTTTGGTTGATCTTTCCAGGGTTGGGAGTCCATAGCTTTTATCAGGTTTCCGGGCGGGGGGTGGGGGAGCACAGAAATCAAAGGGGCAGGATGTTGCTCGAATTCAGCTTTCTCCGTCTACAGAGGAGACCACGAAGGCTCAGAGAGGTGTCCTGACTCCTCTGTGGTGGCAGGATAGAGCTAAGATCTGAACGCGTGTTGTCGTCTTTCAAGAAGCTAACAGACGCACACAGGCTTTGCAATGGGTCAAAGGATGTCCTTATTGTCACTCACCTCTGTGTTGAGTCACCGGCTGTGGCCCTGAGGCCTGCAGCACACAGGGTGTGCACAGGAGGATGGGGCTTCTGGCTGGACCTGGGTTGGGTGGGCAGGGATTGCCAGAGTGAGCTGCCCACAGTGCCCCTGAGCAGAAGGTAAACCCCTGCAGAGTGGAGACCAGGAGCGTCAGGGAGTCAGTAGTTCTGGCTCTCCATCTCCTCTGCCCCTGATTGCTCTTGGCCTTTTAGGGGAAGAAACTGGGTTTCTGGCCCCATCTCATCCTAGCTCACAGCGCCTCTTCCAGCTCTTCTTCAGTGAGAGAAACTCCACCAGCTCCGCCCTGGACATTCGGGCGGCTCCTATGAGGAACCTCTTTAGGGTGAAGAGCGGGCAGCTGTGCTTTCGGGCCCTATTTGGAGACAGAACTTGGTTGTCATCTCTTTCTTGGAAATGTCCCCATGTTGGTGTAGCCTCTTCCAACGCAAGTCGGGTCACCTCGGCGATCCTTTAACTGCCCTGCTTGGGAGACCTTTAAAGTCATTTTTCAGAGAAGAAACTGAAACGGAGCAGTTAAATTGACTTGTCCAAGGTCACCGCGGTGCTAGAGGTCACCCTGGGAAAGGAGCCTGGGACTTTGCCTGTCAGCCTAGAATGTCTTTTTTTTTTTCTCCTACCTCTTCACTTCCTGGGAGTTCATGGGTTCCTTGTGAGTGGTCTTCAAATCTTCTGCAAAGTCAACTGGGTATAACACTGGGCCTTTGTTGGGCTAAATGTTTAGCACAGCCACAGCGTTGCTAAAGACTGTCACAAAGAAGGGGAGGGCCATTTCTCATGCCCTGGGTCTGCAGACCCAGGTGCAGTGGAGACACACTTTGATTCGGCTCCCAGCAGTTTCCCAGGTGAGCTGGGGGAGGGGGCTCAGACAGCCAGGACGGTTGGTACTGGGGCAGGTAGAGGGTGATGGGGCTGGAGCAGGCACCAAGTAGAAAGTAGAAATGGAGTACTTCTCTCTAAAAGGCTCTACTTCCACAGAGCTCTGACTTTGAGAGGCCATGGCCAGGTGAGCTAGGGTGGGGCATTAGGTAGGTCCTGATGCTGTGGCATGACCAGGCAGAGGCCAGGTATCACGCCATCCAAGATACTCAACCTCCTCATAGCCATGGTTTGGGAACCATTCTTCTGCTACAGATGTTGGCTATCTCACCCCCATCCTCCCACCCTGTTCCTTTCCCAACTGGCTTTTAGTCTCCTGGGTCCTCCCAGGACCTGTGACTGTTTTTGATGGCAAAAATATAAACAGATCATTGCTAGTCACTGTAAAGCGCCACATCATTCACTGACTTTTCAGCTAAAGAGCAAAACCACAACAGAGAGATTTGAATAGCAAGTCACAATTTGAGGAGTGTGAGGGCTCCCATGAGTATTCCTGCGTTACCCTAAGTAGCAGGTCCCTAAAGTTCTTAAAGTCTGCACACGGGTGGGTGGACCCCTAAAGTGTATTCAAGGCAGTAGGAAGTTCTCCCCTCCCACACTACTCAGCAGCCCCCACCCTCACCGACTGCCATAGGTCACCTTCAATAGAGGGCAGGAGCTGCTGAGAGGGACTGTCTGCCTCCCGTTGACGTGAAGCGCGGGGTCCTGCGGCATCCGCTGGGTCAGCAGCTGCTTCTACCTGCCGCTGGGAGCACGAGGCTGTCTCTGGTGTGGTGGCTGTCTCCATGCTGGGCTCCAGCTGAAGATTTTCTTTGTTGCCGCTGAGGGAGGGGCCGAGCACCTGCTGTCCAGGCTGGTCTCCCTGGGGTCCGCAGCCACAGGCTTATGTAAGTGGGCTGACTTTTCCCCACCCACCTTACTCCCACTGAAGGGTGAAGTAGGGGCCAGGGGATGAGGAGGATCAGAGAACAGCCCAGAATAGCCACAGGAGGGGGGCTGAGGTGGCCCTGTTATCTTGGGAGTGAGATGACACCCCTCCAGCATTAGGAGGGAGGGGAGAGCTGGAGCACAGAGGATGTGAGAGGGACTTCTGTCTTCGGTGGGAGGCCTGAGTGATAACGTCGTCGGTCGGCTCCTGACCTCCAGCTCATTCGACAGGACCTATGGTCCCAAGACCAGTGAACTCTCAGGCACACCTTTAGCTGTTCCCACATGCATTGAAGAGCAGGTCTCCACACCTTGGCCTTCATGGGTTTTGCTGTCCCAGCCCCCAAGGGCAGGCTAGGGCAAGGGTGAGGACAGTCAGTCCTCTGCAGCCTGACTACACTGGCTACACTTGAGCTCTGTCATCAGCTAGCTATGTGACTAGTGACACCCCATAGTCTGTCTGTTCCTCTGTGTATGTTTGATGTGTGTACTGGGACTTGTCTCCCACCTTCTCCTCTACCCCTTTCCCTCCCTCCCTGCCTCCCTCTCTCCCCCCCAACCCCCTCTTCTATGTGTTGGGGCTTGAACCCAGGGCCTTGTGCTTGCTAGACCAGCCCTCCCCTAGCACCCCACCCCCAACCTCTCATAAGTTGGGTTTCATTTGTGAAATGGAGGTAATAATAACCATAGGGTTATGAGGATTAAAGAGGTAATCTCTCTAAAGTGCTTAGCAGAGTGTAGCTGACTAAGTGCTGGATAAATGGGAGCTATTTTTAGGTCAGACCAGCGGTTCCCCCTCCGAAAGCTTGTCAATGGCTCTTCCTATGAGATAAAGCACAAATGAAGTGAGAGGTGGCCTAGTACATGGAGGAAAGCTCCCCGGGGACAGGGATGAGTGACAGCTGGCTGTACCATTCAGCCACCAGCTGATGGCTGTGCACCTCAGGTCTATGTAACAAGGGATGCTGAGGCCAGGGCAATGCCTGGGATACAATCAAAACGCAGGCTCATGGCCAGCCCACACTCAGTGCGAGCTACACCCGGAAGTCTGCTCATTTTCTGGGCGCATTCAACCATTCGGCTTCACGTTGTACCCTCCGCCCAAATTATTTGGTTTCCCATCACATCGCCTTTTTCCTAACTCGGGGGCCAGCAATCCTGTATTTATTTAAACATGTCCCTTTGTTTTTATGTGTATCAGTGTTTTGCACAGATGTCTTTGCATCATGTGTATTCCTGGAGCTTCTGAGAGGGTGTCAGATCTTCTGGGACTAAGTGAGTTGCCATGTGGGTGCCTGGAACCAAACCCAGGTCTTCTGAGAGAGAGAGTAGTCAGTGCTCTTAACTGCTAAGCCATCTGCATGCTGCGTCCACACTTGAAGGTCAGAGGACAACGTTTGAGAGTCAGTTCTCTCCTTCTCTTCTGAGTCCCCGGGGTTAAGCCTTGGTGGCAGGCATCCTAACCACTGAGCCATCTTATCGGCCCCATATTGTTTATTGAGAGGTCTCCTACTGTGGCCTGGGGCCTGCTGATCAGGCTGGGCTGGCTGGCCAGTGAGCTCCAGGAATCTTCCTGTCTATCTATGGGACTGTTAGACGGGCTTGAGGACTGAACTCAAGCCCCCTGTGTGGCAGGCATGCCACTGACTGCTCTCTCCTGCTTAGGGAGACCCCTTTTTATTCCATACTTAGCCATGTTTTTATGGAAAAAGTAATCTAAGCCTGCAGTGTTAGCCCTTTTTTTGTCCTTCATATGTAGAAAATTGTATAAAGAATTAAAGATTAGAGACCCCTCAGGTCTGCTCATTAGAAAGTCCACTCTGGAGGGAGAGGTAGGATTACCATCAATTGTAGGGCAGCCTGGGCTTTCTGGTCCCAGTCTTAGAGTATGTTAGAATCCCTGGAACTACTGATTTCATCCTTGGGTAAAAACTCCTGCCTGAGGGGTAGCCCCTTCAAGAACAAGGCCTGGTCCCTGACATCTCCAGAGCATTATGTGGGAGCACTGAATGGAAATACTGGTTCAAATGCTATCCCACTCGGACGGTGGTGGTGCACGCCTTTAATCCCAGCACTCGGGAGGCAGAGGCAGGCAGATCTCTGTGAGTTTGAGGCCAGCCTGGTCTACAGGGTGAGTTCTAGGACAAACAAGAAAACTGTCCCACGGTAAGGTGGGATGGCTATGGCTGAAGGCAGGTGGGCAAGAAGCTCCTTCAAGCGATACTTGTAAACGAGGCTGAGACTCTAAAGGACTGTGAGGGGAGCAAGGGAAGGTGGGGCACATGGGAACTGCCACGGCTGGCTGACCTAGTGATCATGTGACGGTGCACCCCCAGGGACACACTCCACATTCAGGAGTGGAACTGTATGTTGTATCCAGAAGTGTAGGAACAGACACTGGAGGATGTGTGTGGTGGGCTGTAGGACTCCAGGAGGTGACAAGGGAGATGGTCCCGTACATCTTGATGAGCATCAAGATCAAGAAAATGAAGGGACAAGGACGTTAGAAAACCTAGGGGCAAGCAACCCGTTTGTTTGGAGTCGTTTCCTCAAAGTACCCGCCACCTTTGCAGCTCAAAGTGTACTAACTAGCTTCAAGCTAGAAGCATCTAACTGGTGCTTCTCTGGTTGCTGGAGTTTTGACTCTTGAAGGTAGAAAGCTAGAAAAACTCACTAAGAAACCATAGCTTACTCATCTTAGAAGGTTAGGTAAAACGCAAGTCCAGGCTGTTTTATTTCTAACCCAAATATTGCAAATATACAGAAAATTGCCGGTACAAAGTTAAACACATCCAGATTTATTTACACACTGCTAAAGAAATTTTGCGTTTTATTTTCATTTTGTGGGATTTCGTTATGGGGTCTGGCTTTGCTGTATCATTGACACGGGTCTTTGAAACTTGATAATCCCACCTCCCACATGCAATGTTCTGTCCCAAGTGGACAGAAGTCTGGAGTTTTCAGTGTACATGCAGTGGTGATCACGATCCTGCTTTACACTTTCCCAGGAAGGCAGCTGCCCCTCACAGCCGGGGCGAGGGGCCACATGCTCAGAAAGGGAACAGAAGTCAAGAGGGGAGGACAACAGGCACGTGGGGACCCTGAGCATTTCTGTGCACGAGGATAAAGACAGTGCAGCCCAAACCCTCCTCCCTGGAGGCTCAAAACACCAGGAAATGGCGGAACCACCAGGGGACAAGAAGTCACCCGACCACAGCTGAGGGCATGCAGAGGATAAGAACTGCATTAAAAATTCGGGCCATACTGATAAATCATTAACATGTACACTATACAGTTTATACATGTATATATGTACACACACACACACATATATATAAAGGTACAGGTCAGCTTGTGTTATTCCATATAAACAGATGCAGAAGAATGTACCGGTGTGAAAAAGTGCACGCAGCAAGTCCTTGAAGACGATTTCAAGTCAATGCTCCAACTCTTACTGTTATAATGCATGGAACCAGGAAATGAACCTGCACCTGTGCTTTCAGTGACTCCACAGCAACCCATATCCTGGTAAAGCACTGGCCGATGGAAGTCTGGCACTTGCTTGCCAGCTCTGGGCTTCCCTGTCAGTGCATCATATGGCAAATCTTAAACTTTGGTTTTGTTCCAAAAGACATTTAAGTTAACATTACTTCTCCCTCTGGTAGCAAGGTGATAGAAAATTGAGAAGCTGCATCGCATCCTGTTTTTGCAATCTTTGTGCCTCCCTGCTGACTGTGGAGTTGAGAGGGCTGGGCCGACAGGTGGATGAACCCTTTGCCAGCGTGCACAGGGGCAGGGTTCTTCAGAGCGCTGGAGAAAAGAAAGACTCTCTGCCTATATGGTTTACTTCAGAGCAATAAAATGAGTGATGCCATGCCGCCAGCCCTCTCATTGTGGGGCTCGGTGGAATGGCCCTGTGCCCCTGTGCATCCTGGTACCCCGATGGAGGGATGGTTCAGTATAGTGTGTCCAGCCATGGTTTATAGGCCTGACCAACAAAGGAGCTGAGGGTGGCCCATAATACTACACTGCACGAGGAGCTAGTGTGGGCAGATGGGGGACTGGAGGTGAGCCCAAGAGCACAGGTCTGCACACCAGAATGACGATTCAGAGGCAGTGGGTTCGAGGCTCAGTTGTCAAGACTGACAATGACCAAGCTCCTAAGCCTACTGGGCAGATGCCATCATCACTCTCCAGAGGCCTCTGCTCCTCTGAGCAGTGTTCCAATTCCAGGCACAGCCAGCCCTGGCTTCCGGTCTCAGGAAAACTCCAAGGCCCTAGGGTCTCAAGCAAAAAGGATGCTTTGGATTTAAAACTCAGGCCACTATGGACTATCTGGTATGTCTGAGCTACCTAACAATGCTAAATCCTACTGCTCAAGTCTCCAGAATCGATCCTCTCTGCCACCACAATGCTGAGGATAAATGGTATGTTCACCAATGATGCTCCAAGGCTGAGCAGGACAAACCAAATCAGATTTTTTTTTTTTTTAAAGCTATAAAGAACTTAACGGTCTTAAACCTCTGACTGGGGTTGCATATTTCTGAGTGTGACTGATTCTGAGAGCTACCATAGGGGTAGTCCCCAAGCCTCCAGAGCCAGAAGCAAAAGGGTAGAGAGGAAGACTCATCCACAGAGACCCACTTCCTGTGCTCCCAACAGTGACCATCCACCGAGGGTGAGGGGACACTCCGGATTGCCATGGCTTTTTATTTCAGCCATGAAGCAGGGGAATAAAATGTTTTCTAAAGAGAAAAAGGGCCAAAATAATGCTCTGAAAGAAATGCCACTGATCTGTCCTCGAATCCAGCAAGTCACCTCTAAGGAGCTCCACTCCAAATACTTGGCACCTTCCTGTATAACCATGTCTCTGAGTTCTGAAGACCCTGGGCGAATGACTTAGTTTTGGCTCCTGAGCTCTGTGGCAAGAACAGCGGACAGCCACCTCAGCTGGGGCTGTGCTGGGAGGGATAGCATGTGGTGGAAGCCGCGCTCTCCCTTTTGACAAGGAGTGAGCGGACAGCAACTCTGATAAATTATGAGCTGGTATATCTTTGGAATTATTGTAAATTTTAGAGTCACACAAAGTCATACATTCTGGCTCTAACAAATATCAGTTCTCCTCCCAGAAACAGTCCCTTACTTCATTTTCTAACAGAAGTTCCCTGACTCATTTAGCTGCAATTCAGCATCTCTAGGACTCTTCATCCACTTCCTCCCTCTCTCCTGCTGCTGTGCATTCTGGGGAGGAGTTAGCCATCTGCTCATACATTCTGACAAAAGTTTGGCACATTTACTTTCTACTGACTTTCTAGCCACAAAATGAAGTAGCAGCAAAATGGCATCTACTCAAGAATGTCCAAGTCATAATTACTGGGAGGAGCTGTGATGAGGGAAGCGGAGAGGGAGACCAGAGACCTATCATACCATCACCCTGTGTGGCTAATATTAAGCTGTATTAAGAGGGGTCGTTAC